GTTCCTGTCTGCCCTCGGGGGAAAGGGTGGGATGATGGTCGGATGTCCCCAGGGGGGTGACTTACAATAGATTTTGCGGTTACATCTGTGGATACATGGTGCTAATCCCTACCCCCTCCGTCTAATACCCTGATACTGTCCTACATTAGCGGACATTACACTTTTTAAAGGGGATTAGTGAAAGTCTTGTGTCCTGACCTCTTGGTTTATGTTTTTGTCTCTCCTGGATCTGGACCTGCTTCTGTCTGGGTCCAGTGATGCCCAACGGTGAACTTTCCACAGGCTCAGTTACAGTTTTTCACCGCACTCATTGTCTTTGAATGCATCGTGTTAAGCATTCTAGCGTCTCCATAGAGAGGGAACAACAAAGAGTTTTCCACTGAGGTTGGTGCGGTAAAAGTCTAATAGGTTGTGTATAGATTTGCCTTTCACCGGTATTTATTTAGCAATGAAGTTTTCAGTCCAAATATTTAAAACGATTATGGTTTTCTTTGCTTTCTTTATTGCTGAAGCAGGGCCAGCAAGTAATCAAAATGTTGTTTTTATTGATTTAAAATGACAAAAGAATAAATAGACTGTAAGCCATCTAAAGTTTCTGTTATCATTATCAATAACCTAGCTGTTTTCCATAAAAATAATCCATTCATTTTACAGATTTCTGCTGTTTCTAACAAGTCATTCTCTTCCTACAGTTCTATATTGTTTACCAAGTATAGTTGGAAATGGCCAACAAAAGTCATTAAGGCAAATATTTACCATCAGCAGTTTGTTGAATCAAGTCACTCGCTTAAATGTCATGACCAATAACGTTTTTTTCTCTCTCCTATACGTGACGGTCTTAAAACCCACACTGAGTACTACCAGGTTCATGTCAGGTCTTTAAAAAGATGCCTGAGTTAACTATGCATGAGTCCCGCAGCTTCCCAGTGGTATCGGTTCTGCTGCTTTTCCTCTAAAAACATTACTGCTGATAATTTTTTCATTGCTGTGGTGAGGAGGGAGGGATCTACATTCCAAGTCTGATTGAAGAGAAATTTTTTCACTGTTGGATGATCTGACAGCGACGGGTTGTGGCTGTTTTTGTGCTCCTCCTCCCTGTCCCTTAATTACACTTCTTTGAGATATTGAGGAAAGTGAAGACGGCTAGGGTGTGGCTGAAGCAGAAATAAATCAACTGGGAAGCTTTACTTGCTAGATAGGCGTCATGAAAAAGACTGCATTTCCTTCACATCTGTTTTGTCACATTTTGGGAAAAAGTGTGAAGCATTAGGTCTTGTTCTCTTTGTCTATTGCCTTTTAAGTCTCCCAGGAAGTCATGGGTTGTGAAAATTGTGCAACTTGACATTTGAGTAATCCAGAAACTGCGATGAATGTACGACAAGAAATACACGGGAGGTTACGGGGGTCTCTGAGTCAGGGTTTAATTCATTGAAGTAAATTACCTTATTTTAACATTTGCATGAGCTTAGTTGTAATGTATGACAACTGCGATTGTTCATCCTCTACGTAGTCTACTACAGATTTATAATAACACAAGAAACATAGCGTACAGAGACGGTAAATTACATTGATCCTAAACGACTGTACAGCTCTCTCAAGTATGTTTAGTTTGCTAATGCTACATTAAATGTTTGAAACTTGGCTTCAGAGATACTCCACATAAATTAATGATGTGGTACATTCATAAAAGTAGTACAGAGGTTTTTCATAACATTTGTCAAAGGAGCTGTGTGTGACCTACAGCTAGTTTTCATTAGCTATAGCATGCTAACACTAATGTTTATTGGATGTTTTAGCTATAATTTTATGTTCACTTTAGAGTGCAGACTAAATTCATCATGTGGTGCATGCTTTAGTACCAGTGTTTTTCACACAAGCCCAAATGGACTGTGTGACTTTGTGACATTGGCTAAGCAAGCTAATAACCTTAGCATGCTAGTGCTAGCATCCATAAAATGTTGCTTTGTTTTAAAGACTATCACTTTTTCATCATGTGGTTTCTCACTTTATCAGTCGGAAAAGACCGTCGTGCCTGAGCTGATTTGGGGTAACATTAGCTTTATTAATAGTAGTATTGATGGATTTAAAAATAAATATTTAAAACTAACTATTGCTCCTTACTGACTCTAAAGAGGATTTTCATGATTGTTCTTTTTTCCTCGGTTGCAGGCAGTAAAGCCATTTAAAAACATGCCACAGCTCTCAAAATGTTACTGAATGAGTATTTGTTGGATATTTCTGGATAATATAGGAAGTAATTTCTAAATGTCATAGGGACTGAGGTTCATGATTTGTTTGTGGATTTGTCAATAAAAATTTAATTTCCCTTTGAGATCATTAAAGTATTTTAAGCAGTCCTTGTTACTTGATTACATGCTGTTTTATGTTTACTAAATAGATAATTATCTATTTTGAACACTTTTTTTCCAGTCGTTTGACAAACTTTCTGTGTGCTTCTGATCTCTTTGTTCCCTAAGCAGCACATTCCTCCTCCTACCTGAAAAATTAATTATCTTTTGCATTTCCTCAGAGTTCAGGCAGACTCTAACTCATAGCACTGACGGCTCAAAGTGAAAATTCCCTCACAGGCCTTCAGACTGGGCTTTGACTGCAGATTTGTGCACTAAACTTGGCTTGTGAACACACAGAGCCATCATGATGTGCTTCAGTCCTTTTTTTGTTTGCACCCAGTGGGGAACTCTTGAGTAGTTTCCTTTTCAATATAGCAGAAGTCGGTGGGACAATGCGGCTACTCTTTTCCTCTCAGTCTCAAACAAAGTAACACAGGGCGCTCTCTGTGTTGTCAGTTCATCCTCTTCCTTCCTAACATCAGCCAAACACCATGGTTGGGGGGGGGGATGTCTCTTCTTTTAAATCCAAAAAGGGGCCTGGAAAAACCTGAATCTCCCAGCAACGTTAGCTACTATGAATTCAATATTCTGGCGTTGTGTTGGTTCTGATACATATTGCGGTCGGTGGACATGCATCTCCTCCTTGTTTTGTGAACTTTATTCCAGTGCAGGCTGTGCAAATGAGCTCTCACTGCGGCTTTTCACTCCTTCCGTCTTGTTATCAGGTCAGTGTAATGTGAATCTGGTCTGCGCTCGGGCACCTCCTCCGAGACCTCTCGCATTTCCTTTGATTCACAGTCAGATCCCACAGGGAGTAAACAGCTACGCTCCAGTTTACAGCCACCGTACTATATCCACTGGCCTAATTTGACTCATTAAAGTAGCGGCAGTGAATCAACTGACAGAACAAGGACTCTCAGCCATTCGGCTGCTGCCCATTTCGTTTCCCGTCAGTGGTCGACAGAGTTGTTTGGCTTATTTCCAGATAAACTGAGCAGGCGCAGCTTGGATTAATTCAGTTTAATGTTGCCGAAGGAAACAGACGTAATATGTTGGCTCTTTTTTGAGGATATGAAGGGTTAAACCTGGCACTGCTGTGGATTGGGCTTTATCGCCCGACGTTACGGTCACTTCAAAACGCTCTAAAAATGTGCCCTTCAAGCTCTGTTCCTCTTTATCTGCGCTTGTGGCGCTCAGACAAATGTCTCAGCGACTTTGAGCCTGTTTCATAGTAATTAGCAGTAGCTTAACTTCTCTAAACAAACTTCCTCTGTCTGATCACACTAACAGCTTTAGTGAGTCAGATAAGGTTGACCATCACTTCCTGTCACCCACCACATTAAATCCATTAGCTGTTCTCAAATCCTCACTTATTGATTCATAGCGAACTGTTTGCCTTTACAGCCTTTAAAGCCTGATCGGTTACTGTTGTCCAAGCAGAAGATGAGAAACCTGTGGCTTGGCGTCCAGGTGGACTTGGTACATAATACGTTAGGCTTTATTCTACTGGGATTGACGACTTTAAAATATGTGGGGAAATGATGAAGAGTTGTGTAAATTACTAAAAGTAGTTCCCACTGGATGGATTAGTAATGATACAGCTTTGTGGCCTAAGAAAACCAGCTAACTTTTTACTTTTAGCATCCATAAAGGATTTTAATTTGCAGGCATATGTATATATAATTTTCTTTTTTTTTTCCCCATCCACTGATCAAGTGATGTACTGAAATACTGCACAGAAGTTGAATGGTTAATATGTGTTATGTTTGTTGTTATTGTTGGCTTGTTTGTCAAGCCAAACAAGCTAATAGGCTACGATCATTAGCATTCTAACGTTTCAGGTTTCAACTGTACATTTTTATGATTTACTACATAGTGCACAAGATTCATGACATGACAGTAAAATGCAGCTACAAAGTTTGAACATATTATCAAACTATGCAGCTTTGCAGCTTAAGCTGACACATATCTAATGCTCGCTTTGGTATTGTAATTCCAGTACAAATAACATTTAATAAGCTAGGTCGTGCACAAGAGATTAATTTTGTGGTAAAACTAGCAGCTCAGTGGCTTAACATCAGTATCTACTATCACCAAAACAGATGGTAATCTTTACTAAAAGTGCTTCAGCGAAATATGAAAATTTCTACTGTAAATCCACTTTAAAGTTTATTGAAAATGTGTCCCAATAATAGGCCTAAGTTAAAGTATTTTGGTCAAAATAAACCTTTTCTGCACTGAACAACATGGAGGATGGGACTCAGAGTGGCCGGACATTTGTTAAAGTCCTGGGTGTTGTTGAGGAGCGTGGGGTGTTCATGAAGTGGGGGGTGGCCTGTATGTCGCATCGTTCTCTGATCCAGATGGTGAAAGAAGCTTTACAGATGTGTGCTTCAATAATCTGCTTTATTTGCTTGTCAGCCCAAACATAAAACCAGCAAGTCTGTGAGAAATCAGATTTATACCAGATGGGGTAAAAGGCTTTTTTTTTTTGTTTTTTAAACAACAAAGACACAAGATCCTCTTACTGGAATGTGTATTGGATGACAACATGCACACATTTTCTTTTCTTTTTTTGTGTGTGTAAATATTTTTAGCATGCTGCTGAGTAAAAATGACCTGTTTTTAAGAAGCTTTCACTTTTTTTTCCTGACATGCTGATCTCTGGTAGCCTAGTTGGCTGCTGGCCTGCAAGCGAGTCCAAATAGGGATAAGTTTTCTCATGTAGTTGTTGGCAAAAAGACAAATGAGCGTAATTCCTAAAACTTATTTTTGCTTTATTAGATTTGTGTGGGCCTAATGCTCTTAAGCAAGTGAATAAAGTCTACCAGAGAGACAAGCAACATCTCAGATGTTTTTCTTGCCACCCTGCCTGCCAGAAAGGATTAAACCTAAATAAGAGATCAGCACAAACTCCTTGGAGCTTGTTAGGAATACGACTGGAATATGAGCAGAGTTCATCCCGGGGGCCCTGGAACCTGATTTATTCCTGCTGCGACACAAAGAAGAGCTTAGGACAGCGAAGTTTAGATGTGCCTGAATGGTTTTCGTTACCACACTCCTCTCCCCGGCCGTTTGGCAACCTGCAAACCTCAACGAATGGAAGATGTTAGGAAATGTTGATATTCCCTGAAGGTGTATTCACCTTCACCCACGCAATCCTCCGCCGCACCCTTATCGGGAACCTGTTGTTGCTCCGGAGACACTCCCTGCTCGACTCGCCTGAGGGATGGGGGCAGAACTGCATGTTCTCACCACTGACAGCAGCCTTACTCATCTCTTTTGTCACAGCAGAGATGTCCCCTTATCTGATCATTTCAGCAGTTTTGACATGACGGCTGAGTCAGAGGAGTCTAAAATAAAAGTGGTGAAACTGTGAGAGATGTTTATGGTTTTTGCTGCAGAAGCGTCGCTCTCGGACGGATCGAATATGCAGCGTTAGCGTGGAATGTCACACCAGTGTTTCAGCAGCGAAAGCTGGAACGTATCCACGTCTGCTTTGTCTGTCGCAACTTGCTCTCTGGCAGCTTTTCACTGATGCGCATTCCTGGTTTTACTGTGAAGGCAGTTTTTTGTTTTTTTTTTGGAAGAAGCCTCCTGAAGTCATTCTGTTGCCTAACAAGACGGGTGGGAGGCGCCGAGTGTGAAATGCGGGTTTCTCCCAGAGCTAGGCCCCTGTGTTACAGTTGTAGTGCTGGTGGTAAAGAACTGTGAGTGAAAAGAAGGCATCACTTATTAACTAGAAGAGAGCAAAGTCCAGTGTGAAGTTCACAATCTGACCAAGTATTTAACTATAACCCGGCTGATAAGACTCGAAACACAGCAGGACGGATAGAAAATAACATTTAAGCCCAGATCAACTCTTAGTTTTACTTTTGCTGTAATCTTCTGTTTTAAATCTTTTTATCACAGAAAGAGTTTAAGGTTGTTTCCGTAAGAGTTTGGGAATCTTATTAAAAGTGAAACAAAATCTCTGCAGCATCAAACATGAGTTGGGCCGGGAGATAAAACCTTCAACAAAACAGGTTTTATCCGATCGCCTATGTTACCAAGGCGATCGGCAGGGCGTGTCATCAGACTGAAATAGTTGACTGAACCCGCTGCCTCGCCTACGAGTAACAAAGCAGCACCAAATACTTTCCCTGGTTTCCAGAGAATGGCAACATGCTGTGGGGGGGGAAACAATGTCTTAAACCGCCTTTCAAAACTTTAACCAGAACCATTTATAGCATCAATCGATTTATTTCCATTAGCAGCTGGTGAATGTTGAGGATGTTTCTTCAGTAAATTGAAGCTGCCGCCTGTTTACTTGGAAAGGTGAGCGTGAATGTTGACTGTAAGAGCAGCGGACGCTTGATGAGTCAGTGCATCATGTAGCTGCAAGTACAGACAATCCTCTGGGGCCTGGTCCTGTGGGGATGTCATGCCAGAGTCACTGCAGCTGAAACTCTGAGTGGCTGATCTCTGTGGAGGTGAACAGAGATAAAGAAACAAGTTGAAACATTACAAAACGTTCACATATTTTCTAAATTAAATATGGAGGATGGGGAGGGGAAGGTCAACAGTGCTTGTGTTGAAGCATTTTAGAGGGTTAAAACTACAAACTTCAGTGGTTTTTATTTTAATTTTATGTGATTTGACCAACACGCACATTTGAAGTAAAAAGAAAGTAGCACATGGTTGTTTTTTGCAAATAAAAAAATTTGAAACCTTCATTTTGTTTTCAGTTCCCTCTCCTCTTCGACTGCCAAAAAAAGCCCAGGATGGCCAGTGTTTCAGGATAAACTCTGCGGGATAGGGAAGATTTTTCATTTTGAGAGAACATTGGTGAATAAACAACATTATAAAGAACAAGGAAGACAGGTCAGGGAGGGAGTTACAGAGAGGTTTTAAGCAGGATCAGGTTTAAAAATATCCCAAATTCTGAACACATCACGGAACGACTTTCAGTACAAAAACAAAGAACTGAGACTTTGTACAAGCGTTTGTTTCTGTCCTCTTTTAATTCTTGCACTTTGATCACTTTGTCACCCTGACTTTGTTTTTATAGCTCACCTTCTGCCAACGCAGCAGCTAGACATTATGTACCTTTGCCAGAGCTTGTTTTATTGGTTGTAATAACGGAAGATTCTGCCGTGCTAAAACCAGATGTCTCGCAGCAGCTTCGGGGATGGCCTTTTTTTTTTTTTTTTTTTTAATTCATCGTCTTGTTCTTTGAAATCTTTGTATACCTTGAGTCCATCATGAAACACGCACACAATGCGGCCCGGCAATTTGCCTAACAAAGCCGTCTGTGACAGCCAAAACATCTGAAAGCACTTGAAAGCAGCACAGTGTACGCATTGTGCTGGTTAGTCATGTGTCACAGGCAGTGGCAGGCAGCCATTATAAATGCAGATTTTCAAGGGAGTTTCTGTGGTGAATGTCATCTGAGCTGCAGAAATGTGGCGACCGTTTCCATGCGTGTCCCGACAGCGGTTGTTTACTCCGGAAAATAAAGACGCTGCACAAAGAATCTCGGCGCACGAAGAGAAAACGCTTGCGTTGACTAGGAGGAGACCGTACACACAGGTCCAGGTCCTGCTGCTCTGTTTTTTGGTTTTATTGCGACATCCACACAAATTCAACAATTTACTAGAGTGAAGCTGTATCTGGTTTGAGTCACTAATGTAGCATGAAGCATGATTACATGATGTCAAGGCGTGTAGAATGAGCGTGTGCTGGCAAGTTGCAGTGTAAATATGCAACCTGAAGAGAGGTTGGTGTGTAATTACACAACTGTATCTGTTTGAAACTGTTTTGATTACTATATGGGCATATCTTAAAGCACATACACGTGAAGTATATTTAGTGTTTTCTCGTGTTTTGTTTTGTGGACGACGAGGTGTCGGCTCACTGTACAAACACACACACGCATAGAGACGCACTCAGGCTTACCAGAATCTAAACCTGACAGGCGAGTTGATCGTCATACGTCAGCAGGAGGCTGCTTCAAGCTGCTTGGGTGGGGATCTGGGGGTTAAAGGTCGGTGCTGAGAATTTCTGACATGCTGCTGTCTCTCCGCCCACTTCGCCCTCCCTCCTCCTGGAACCACAACGCTGCTGCTGCTGCTGCTGCTGCTGCCGCTGCTGCTTTGTGTTGTCGTTTTCAGGTCAGAGTGCCTGGCTGCAGGGTAGGAGGGTCCGGCTCGGGATCTGTCACGGTGGCAGACGAGTAAGCAAAACGACAGCGCTTGTGCAAGGAGGCAGAGAGCGTGCCAGAATGCTTAGCAATTCATGAAAGGATGGGCGTGGAGTCAGATGTGTCTTGATCATTTGGAGTGAAGGAAATCTGTGGGAATCATTATTTTATTTCTCTGCATATTTCAGGTTGGCTCCGTCGTTGCTCCTTTGATAACGGACAAGGATGGAGATGCACAGTAAGTCGTTTTTTTTTTTTATCATTTCTCTGCATTTCTTTTCTTCGCTGCCTGTTTTAGTGATGTTGTCGTTTTTATCCACTGCATTCTTTTCAGTCGTGTCATATTACAGTTATGTGGTTTCCCCCTTTTGTCTGGCTCGTGCAATGACTTAAAATGGCCTGAATTTTATGTTGAATTTAATAATTTCTGTAGCATGATGGAGATCCATCCTGCAGCTCTTGGAGGTTTAGACCTGCTCAAACTGCAATGAAGGGAAAAGCTAATCGACTCTTATGTTGGTAGCTGATGTTTTCAGGTCACGAGTGATTAAATAGAATAAATGCTATAAATAATTTAAACCAACACAGAACAAAATCTGATGTTGAAATAATCAATTAGTAGAATTAAGCTAATTAACTTGCCAGATAAACTAGTTGATTATCTACTAAATTATTAATTATAAAATATTTTTTTCTGAAGCATTAAAAAAATCAAGTTTTGCAAAATCTGAAAAAAGTTTCAGTAAATACGATGAAGTATTTCTTCTGAAACTTGCAGTGCAACACTCAAGTTTTGCTCTTTTGTTTTGTGTTTTTTATACCCTAGAATAAAATTGTATCATACTAGCCAGACTGAGCTCTGTATGACAACTGATTGAGATGTTTTAATAAATATTTTGTGTTTTTAATGGAAATTCAAATTCATCTCAAACTTTTTCAGCATCTGTATATTTGACATTCCGTCTCTAAAACTGACATAGAAAATTATTGCAGTTATTATCTCTAGATCTACTTTCCTGAGGAATAAACAAAGTTAAAATCAGACGGGGAGACTCGCACAAAAATAATTATTTGAATTTTATCGAAATAACTTTTTTGTTTAATATTTTAAAGGTTAGGATCACATTAATGGCTTTATTTATGAGATAGGTTTTTAATTATAACCTGTCAAAAGTTCAATTATTGTTTTCTTGCGTTAAGCATAAGTTTCATCTTTTTGAAACAACTTCGTGTTCAAGAATGGTCGATGACTAACAGATCAAATTTAAGTAAAATATACATTTTTCTTTAATCAGAGTTGACTCTGATAACATAGAGGCTGAAATACTGTCAGTAATCTTTTTGAAAATAAATGTTCTTGTCCTCAATAGTTTAGTTTTTAGTGTTCTCACTTCAGCTTGGCATCAGACACAAAGATTTCTGAAATCTAGTAGCTAAATTTCTGTTCAAGCTGCAGCATGTAACTTTTATAAAAGTAGTTTTTTACATATTAAAACATTTCATTTCTAAACATAAAACTGACAGTATAACTAGTCAGATAATCAGTGAAAACCTCGAGCTCCTCTGCCTCTTCCGTGTGGTCCTACTGCCATCGGCAGAAATAAACCTCTCCTGGTCTGAATCAACCAGTCGGATCCAGTGGGAGGGATCTGATCTCAGGAATTTAAATGTACCTGCACCATTTCTGATCTCCTCTTCCTATTTTTGTGTTTTCCAGTGAGTGAGATGGACAGTGGCAGGGCGAAGGTCAGCGAGTGGAGTCAGTCGTATTACGGTCACGACTCGGGCATCCAGTCTGGAGCCACCACCATCAGAGACGATGATGGCGACTACACAACCACCACGCGCTACGTCACAACCACCACCGTCACCAAAGAGCAGCCCGGTGAGACAAGGCAGTCGTAAAAAGGACCAGTTTTGTGCAAATTTCTCTTTCGATGTCAGTTTGACCACCGCTTTGCTGTATTCCAGACGTGGACACCCAATACACACTGAGCAGAGCTCAGCGTGTTCGGGCTGCGATGTTCCCCGAGTCGTTGGAAGAAGGCACCGCCATCCTGTCGACCCAGACAGACCCGTCCCAGATGACCAACGTCCAGCGGCTGGCCGAGCCCTCCCAGATGCTCAAACAGGCCATCGTCCATCTGATCAACTACCAGGACGACGCCGAGCTGGCCACCAGGGCCATCCCGGAGCTCACCAAGCTGCTCAACGACGAAGATGAGGTGATGAACACGGGGACGTGCAGCCAAGCTAAATCTGGCTTGACTGAAATGTTGTCGGTTCATTTTGTTTATTATCAAAAAAAAAAAATTAGCCAGCACTACAACAGTCGAATAAAAACTCTCCCCTCCCTAAATATTTAATCTCTAAACAGGTGGTGGTCAGCAAGGCGGCACAGATTGTGAACCAGCTGACCCATAAGGAGGCGTCCCGCCGCGCCCTCATGCAGTCCCCTCAGATGGTGGCGGCGGTGGTCCGGGCCTTGCAGAACTCAAACAATATGGAGACCACCAAGGCCGCAGCCAGCATCCTCCACAACTTGTCCCACCAGAGGGAGGGCCTGCTCGCCATCTTCAAGTCGGGAGGCATCCCCGCTCTTGTCCGCATGCTCAGGTACTGCTGGGAAACGGACGTCACGTCCCGCTCCTCATTTACTATACACACCACAGGAGTTTGTCTCCTCTGCAACATTTAAGGTTAAGAAGAACTGCCTCCCACCTCGCCTCGTTCGCCAATCGCTGGGTTCTGTTACCGTATTTTCTCAACCTGTAGCTGATATTTTCTCCCAGTTGGAGGTTTTATGAGCTGCTCCAACATGGTTTGAATTGAGTCCTGACTTCACATCACATAAACCACTCATAGTTACATCATTTGGCTCAGGATGTGTCCCACTCAGCACTTCAGATTAGATCTATGGCCTGAGCCCAACCCAAAAGTTTGGGCCACAACTATTTGCTTTATGTACGGCACAAGGAAAACCAAACATGAATGCACCACATAAAGTTCTACTTATCTACTTATTAGTGTAAACAGAGGAGCAAATAGTTTAACTTGTTCAGAAAACGAACAGGGTGGAGAAGTTAATCAGGCTGTAACAAACAGAGCTCTGTCCCGCTGGAGCAGCGGCAGAGATGGGCTCCTTTCAGTCACACGTCCCCGACGATTTACGGTTAACTCACCCTGTGGTTACAACAACCGACAAGATGGAGCCGGAAGATGCTAAAGCTAAAAACAGGAGAAGTTGCTCTGCTTTTAAATGAAAAGGAAAGCAGCAAAATCTTACTTAAAATATGTCAGGTTCACTTATTTACTTGGACACAATGCCTATGGGCTCAAGCCAGATCGGGTTGGATTTTTTTTGTTGTTGTTTTGTTAAGCTTGATCTAAACTCTGCTCTACACAAACGGCTGCAACCTTTAAGAAACCTGCGTCTTACTAACGATGTTGTGTTTCCACACAGTTTTAATTCACACCTTTGAGAATTTGGCTCATGATACAATGCAGACTAAAACATACAGAAGATATGTTCTGCTCCTCCATAAATCCAGTTCTTTGAATGTCATAAAATGTAAAGACTACTGGTTTAACTTCGTTCTTTGCGAGTCTCGATCAGGCCGAGGACATTTGGGAACGACAGGCAGAGCCGAGACGCCATCACAGACACAGAGCTGACGCAGCCAACGCAGTCTCTCTTTAGCTCAGCGCTATTGTAAGGGCTTAAAAACTCATATTGGTGGTTAAAACCCAAATTTGTTAATTCTACAAAATGACTTGCAAGTCTTTCACGCAAAAACCAACCATTTATTTATTCTTTATGCCTTTTTTAAAAAGCTGCTCGCTGGCTGTCGATACAGGCGGCACAGCAACAATATGAGTTGTTGAGTTCATTCCCAGATTGATTTAAAACTTAAATGTCGCACCCGTCTACTGTTTGAAATCGTGTCAAGACTTCCCAAGAATTTCCCCTGCACAGAAACATTGTTGGTAAAACATTTAGCCACCGCCTCTGTTTCGTCTTCAGTAACCAGGACAGGAAGCAAAATGCAAAAACAAAAAGAAATTGTTAGATTTAATTGCAGGGTTGGGAGTGCAGTGAACTGGTCACATCCAACTTTCTTCATTCAGACAGACGGCTTGTTGGTCTGGATGAAAGCTGGAAGTGATTCTCTCAGTGTTGCTGCTTCTGACTCAGCCTGTCATTTCACAGATATTAAAATGAATCCACTCCCAGCACGTCACTCTTATTCATCGCCACATTTTTTTTTTCTCAGACTGCTTAGGTCTGCAGATTTTATCTGTTTCCTTGAAAATTTCAGAAGTTGCACTGTAACATATTGGAACATAATGTTTCTGATGCATTAAAGAGCCTCGTGAAATGTTGTTGACTGAAACTGAAAATATAAAAGTAATGTCAACTACACTCATGTATGAAAATTGGATCAAAACTAAACTTCAAAAAAAGTCAGATATGAAGGTGATTATCACTTTTATGAACTAATAAATGTCTGAAGATGAGAACTCAATCAGATATAATTGTAGCCATCTAAAAAAAAAGAAAAAAGAAAGGTAGAACTGACTATTTAATAATCCACTCCATTCTTTAACTAATTTCTTTTTCTTTAATAAACTGTTTTCCTTTAAGTTGTACATCAACCTAAAGAGGTTTTCCTCTGATTTCCTTTTTTCGTATTAAGGAAACTCAGTTGACTAAAACATGGTAGGATTTTTTTAAATAATGTGAGTTTTCTTGTCTTCAGCTCTCCGCTAGAGTCTGTGCTGTTCTACGCCATCACCACACTTCACAACCTGCTGCTGCACCAGGAGGGAGCCAAGATGGCCGTG